AGGAGCGTCTCGTCCGCAGACCAGGTTGCTTATGCTGATTCCATCGCTGATTCCACCGAAAAACAGTGGAAACGAACTCAAGTTGGTCAAAACAACGCAATCAAAAAAGCTTGCAGGTCGCACATGGTCAGGATGCTGACCCCGTGACCCTGGAATTATGACGCAAAACGGTTCAATAAACCCTTAGCGTTCAGACCAGGTTTTCGGTGGAAAAACCCCACAAAAACCCCTCAAAAACCACCTCCCGAGGTGGTTTTTCAAAATCGGATTTAACCCCTAAAAACCGGTTAATTTGCGTTCACACCAGGTTAATAAAAACCGGTTTTTGAAAAACCGGTTGAAACCGCTAAATGTAAGTCTGGTATGAACAGGGTCTAAAGGTGGCAGTGGTAGCATCGATCCTTCGCAGTCTTGTTGGGCGTCGGCGTTATTTTTTCTCTGAGCGACGTTTCGCGAAACCTTCTCTCTGTGGCAAAAACTCCCTCGGCAGCAAATCGTCCCTCGCGGACGCATATTACTCACGTCGCTCAGAGAAAAAAACGCCGACGCCCAACAAGACTGCGAAAGGAGGCTAGCAGTGGCAGGATATTGGGATTTCTCTTCCAAAACTAGGGAAGACTCTCACCTTGCTTACGTTTCGGTCTGATAGACACTGAAATGTAAGCAAAGTGAGAGTCTTTCCTGTTGTTTAAAAATATCCTATGTTCTACCAACCTGATGAGACTATTTTTGGAGGTACAGGCTATTGTCAAAAATGATGTATGTGAATCCATGATAATTTGTGTAACAGCTGTAATAATTTTGATTATACATGTAGTTCATTAATGGTAAGTTGTATCGTTTCAGTGTGCATTATTCATTTACAATAACTGCACTTCAGATTTGGTGTTAGATACCACTGTCTGGCTAGTGTTCTAACACAGGCTACAGAAGCTGGTAGTATGCATAAAGCATCCAGTTGGGGATCTTGACAAAAGATGGTACCCAGGCAGCCAGTCTTGTGTAACCCTTCAGTGACAGTCGGTCCCTCAGGCGGCGGACAAAATCGGGGGGAGACCGGCCTGCAAAAATAACGCACTGTCAGTCATCTTGATTTTTTCAAGCTTATATGCCACCACGCTATTTTATCTTCTTTGTTCTTGGACATTTTCAAGGCATACAATGCAATTCCATGTAGGCAAAACTGCATATTTAAAGTCCTGGTCATTCTTTTAATGTAGTAATTTGAATCAACCTTATCCCATAGCATGTACTGATATCTGTGAGGCAAAACTGCAATGCTACTGAGGGAAAACGTTTGCTTGTATTGTAGGCTGGTTCTAGGTATTCATGGGTGGTACCGAAATAATAAAGAGATGTCCAACGTAGCTTGTTTTGGGGCTGTTTTAAACGCTTCAAGTAGGAAATGAATATGAAAATGTGCTAAGAAATGGCAGGAAATATCATTATCAGACAGATTTCCTCATCCAGGATATATTTCGTTTACCGTGCTGGGTGTCTTTAAAGATACAACTGCCCGTTAAAATAATCTTATTGAAAAGGCTATGAATACACTGCAATGTCGAAATATGTAACATTTGCCTGCAGTACCACAGTACATCAAAAGGAGGCAGTGTCTGTGTGTCTGTCAGGGTTATATCTACAAATACAAGTGTTATTTGTCTTTGGCTCCTAAGTAGTACAAAAAGTATATACGTATATTCGCCCCGGACCACACTAGTACAAATGTATCAAATTGGCCAGGCAGTATCCATTGGCCAGAGAGGGTCCATGCTCGACCCGTAGCGACAAAAAGAACCGGGCCATATCTAAAATTAAAAAGGTAACGATCTTCTCCATCAACCTCTGCTTGGAGAGTAGTTATTTGCCAGTACTCCCTACCATCGATGTCTTTAAAGCCGTACGCATCAGCCAGGTCACCGGTGGTGAAAATTCTCCCCGATTTCTTCATGATGTCAGGGTCTGGAATGAAAATCATGAATACAGACGAAGTTGAATATAGATTTTTGAAAATTGCTGACCAACTCACGACTAGCTCCCAGGCATAGTCTGGAGAAGATCGTGAGGCTATGCGTGACACTAGGGCTTACATGTGAAGGCGCGCTTCACGATATTTGTGAACCAATGAATAAGCGGTTGGGTATTGGACAAGTTCACGACTACATCAGTGGCTTCGCCTCTACCAGGCTTCGGGAGGCGACTGGAAAGAGGAGAATTCGGCCAAATAGAGAGATAACATGCAGAGGTGCGGACCAACTCCCTCGGCATGTTATCTCTCAATTTGGCCAATTTTTACTCTTTCCAGTCGCCTCCCGAAGCCCGGTAGAGGCTAGAGTCAGCTTACCTGAGGCAAGATGGACGATGGTTTTCCCGGCGTACTCGTTGCTCTCAGAGTTCAACATGACTCTGTTCTTATGCTTAAAGGAGAGAGAGCAAGAGTTTCTTTAGTTAGGGCACAGCAAGGACATTTAATGGATGACAGCCTTCGCTGGCAAATCTAATGCGACAGGACAAAACAAAAAGCAAGACTGGCAAAAAAGCAAGACTCCTACATGTATATCAACACACTATTTGGGTCTTATTGAAAAATGTAACTATTCTAACTATTCCAAGAAGCTGCTGAACACTTGCTTACAACTGAGTTAGGTGATGTTTCATCACCAGGCAGATTTGTCACCCATTCCATGACACGCTCTGTTCGAGTAGCGCCGGGCCACAGGGAGAGGCAGGTCACGCCATGTTCTCTCAACTCCTGCGCACAGTCAGATGCTAGTCGGTCCGCCTATGAAAAGTAGGTGTGACAGGCTTAGGGCACAGTCACATTCCCAAGCCGGGGCCCGGCCGGGTTGTTTGCGTGAACGAAAAATAAACAATTTGTATTAAGAGTGTACACAAATATAGTGCTCATGGTTAATTTTCTAAATCTTTTTTTGTGTTTTGCTGTCTTATATCATAATTTTCGCGGCCGGGCCTCGGGTTGGGAAATGTGACCGCGCCTTAAAGAAGAACTTTCTTGCTCGCGTACAACTATCGTAACGAAATAACAGGAAGAGGAGAAGAAGACATGTGCGAGAAAACAGCATATTTCAGACCATACTATGGTATGGATCAAATATAAAACGAAGAAAACAACAGCAGCCTTACCGCCATCTTGCTTACGCAATAGCTCGGGGTAAAGCCATACAGGTATGTGAGTCCTGCCTCAGAGGACATGTTGACAATGAGCCCTGTCCGAGCCGGTACCATCAGCCGGGCAGCGTATACAGTACAGGTGTAGTAGCCCCTGTATGGGGAAAACAGAGAGATCCACCTCACTACTTTATACTTATCCACGCGCCAGATTGCATTTTATATGTCGTCCATACTAAGGCCGGGGCCCGGCCGGGCAGTCTAATGGAACGATATAAATAGTTATAAAAATGATATAAAAGACAACAAAGCACAAAGTTGAAAAAAAAACGTGATAATGGGAACTATAATTACCTCTACCATGGAGGTTATGTTTTCAGTGCCGTGTTGTTGAGCAAAAAAAGTATGTTTTGGATGGATTGTCATGGCACGTACTATGAGTTTGATAGATCAGGAAATTATAATTTCTTTGCTACTGCAGCAGCACTGCTGTTTCTTACATGTTTCGTTCTAAACTTGCTTTGGGCTCATGAAGTAACTTTGTAAATATGGGTTCCTCGTCAGCTTTATTTGTAGTGGCAAATGATTTCGATATACGCGCTACAGATTCCATACCTTACTCCCACGTTGATGTTTTGCGTCCATGGTTCCAACGGCAAATCCCAAAAACTTTTCCGCTCCCCCATATTATCGAGGTGTTCCTGAAGTAAACAATAGCAAGGACTGGTACTTACATCTATAAGTTAGCCTTTGTTTATTCATGGCGTAGCGGCAGAGTGCTCTACTCGGAACCAAGAGGTCCCAGGTTCGAGTCCTGACATGCCACCGATCTTGCGCCCTTGGGAAAGGCACTTTACACGACTTTCCTCACTTCGTCTTCGCTTAGGTGAAAATGAGTATTGTATTGTCCCCATTGATATAAGTTGAAAAAAACTTGAGTGTGTGGTCACGTCTTGTGATTACATGTTGAAATATATATATATATAAAATCTTTCTATTAAACTTGAGGGAAGAAGTCAGGTCGACACAAAATATAATATACGGGTAACATAATTGGAGTCTGGTAGCTAACTCCTTGGTGTGTACAGAAAACTTTGTCAACCACTTTAAACAGGGCTGTTGGAAAATAAAACCCCGACATAAATGACCTGCCTGAGCTGAGCTGAACGCGCTGTTAACCACGATGTCCAAGCGGCCATTTTGTTCCCTCGACACCCTCTCAAAGAGCTCTTTGACCTCGTCGTCTTTCTCTAGATCACACTGAATCGGAATAGCGCGTCCTCCTCTTTTCTTTATCTGAAATGTAAACACAGGCAAAGGTCGTATTATTGGAAAAATATAGCTAAAGTTCGGGAGCAGTCTGACCCGATGAATCAGTTTTTAGTTTTGACCCAAGAACACTGCCAACTACACTGTATATATGACCGAACATGCCGAAACGTTTGGAAACACTCGGCTGGCGCAGCCTCGAGCCGAACAACCTTGCCGAACACGAGCCGACCTTGCTCCCGACTACTCCTAACCATGTAACGAGGGACCGGAGTTCGGCAGTGTTCGGGAGGCTACGTTTTTGCTTATGAGTGACACGCAAGTGCAGATCTTTTTCTACGTCGACCGAAGCATCCAGAATCCCGTCTGAAGTGGACACCTGTCGCAGTACAGTGACCAAGTCCCTCAATTCTCTTGACTGGTCAATATCATTTTTATTCACACACACAAAAAAATGGAACAACTGTAAGCGATGTCTGCGAGACCTATTGCAATATTTTCATTACAATCTACAACTTTTTGACATTATATTGTGACATTAGGACAATACAAAAAGCACATTTTCTGGTCATTTCTTTACAAAGAAATTTGTTTGCATTCTGATAGCTCTAATTAGTGGTGCCACAAATTGAGTGTGCCTCCTGTGGGTTCTTTTAGCGCTAACCATAAATGTCACAAATGTGAAATACTGCACAAATATGTTGAAAATTGAAGTGAATGACAATCATGTAAAACCGCCAATTTAAGTATAAGCGCGTAAATGTTACATATATGCCCCTTTAAGACTTTTTATTGCCGTACCTCCTCCGCACAGTCTGTAAGTGACGTACCCCGACCATCGGGCAGCAGCGTCCGACCTGAAACAATGATTTGGGTGTGAAAACTAAGCCTATACGTATATGGACATGTGTTGGTAAATATAGGTAATTCTTTGTGATCAAAATTTGGGCAAGATTTCCAAGTTTTAAGTCAGTGAATTTGTCACAACTGAATAGTTTCTCTCCACACAGGATATTCGTTTTTCAAGCCATTTTTTTTTATAAAATCATTCATAACTCCACCTACATAATAACTTTGTAGTAGTAATGCATGTATCTTTTTGTACATAAAATGGGGATACTGAACAGACGCCTTGGACGCTTAACGCCACAACTTTGGCATCTTGATATACGCGACCTTGGCAATTGACAGTAGGCCATATGACTTGTGTGTGCGTGTGTGCGTCACCTGTTATGTAGACTGTAGCCCCGACCTCTGCAAGTTGTAAGGCGATGCCCTTACCAATCCCCCTGGATGCTCCCACTACTATAGCCACCTTACCGACTAGTGACCGGTTCATTCTTGTCTTTGGTGGAAGTGCAGCTAAATAGCCACAGACACTGATGAAATTGAAAGGCCAACCAAGGACATTGGACCAACGATAAAGGTAATTGCGTCATTAAACTGGTATGACCGCAAGTAACACACCAGCTTGTCACGTAGTACAGGTTGTTTAACATTGACCATTACGACCTTCGTCTCTGAATCTTGGAAGTATCCCAAGTCGCTATGCACTATGGGAGGGGTAAGACCCCCACATGTCACTCTGGGGTCGCGGAGCAGGGATAGGAAAGGGGTGACCCATGGAGCGAGCAAAGGGTTTGGACAAGAGGAGTTTAGAAAAAAAAAGATACGCGCAGGTGCCGTGTAGCGCTATAAGTTTGACCAAAGGAAGTACGGAGTTTCCAATTAATGATCAACCCCGAGGTGTCCACTTTGAAAAAAAAAAAAACACTGTGCACTCATTTCACTCGGTTCAGGTGGAAATGAGTTTCGTTACTACACCTAACTTCGGTACTGTATTTTTCCCGTCGCAGTAACGCCTGTACTGCATCAGCCAACAAGGGACTGTTTATAGGGCACACCACGAAAGACACACCACAGGCAAGGGTCCAGTGTCTGAAGTGTCATGGCTTAGGAACTATGCTAAGCTCGGAAATAAGAAGAACTAATGGATAGAATAGGGATTCCTTCCCCGTGTAGGTGATTTTCAATCGTTACAGTGCTATGGTAAGTCTCGTATTGCACCAAGCGTATACTTAACGTCGCTTCAGTTTATAGGGCGCCAGATAACAGCGGCTCCAGATACGCGTATTATTGTTATCCAGCCCCGTCAATTAACTAATGCAATACCAGATAAAATGGTGACATCCGCGCGTACCGCTTTGCTACTGTTCGGGCCTGGGCCACCCATATCTTAACCCGAACAGAGGGCAGAGTGACGCGGGATTTGGTACTATCACGAATGATCATGGTATAGCGCTTGTAGCGAATGTAGTGCGCATTGCAGACCGCATGTATGCCTAACGTAGCCTCTACCAGGCTTGGGGAGGCGGCTGGAAAGAGTAGACATCGGCCAAATAGAGGTATCTCTATTTGGCCGATTTCTACTCTTCCCAGCCGCCTCCCGAAGCCTGGTAGAGGCTATGCCTAACGCTCTTCCGACGAGTGCCAAGCGTTACTGCAGGCTTGGCCAGAATAAAGAGAAGACCCTGTTTTTGCAAAAGAACACACCAGTAAGCATTATGATACATTTATTGCCTGTAAAGATCATAGCCAGTTTTTGTGACAAGGAGGAAATCAGCTAAACTATACAGGAATTACAGAGTTTCCTATGCAGCAGATACATATCTAGTCTTCAACAAGACTTCATCCTTATCATATAACTACTTTCCATTTTAAATTGTTAGTACTTATCATAGGGCACTGTCGCACATGAGTGAAAGTTAGGGCACCATTAGATCATCTTCAGTTTGTACAGGTAACGTTGTTACTGTTAAGTACAAATATTCTGTACTCTGCTAAAAATATACAAACTACAGCTTATAGGTCAAGTACAGGTCATAGATCACAGGTCAAAGGTTACACAGCACTACAATGTCAAGGATAGTAGTTGTTAGTTTGACTAATGCAGATGAAATGTAGGAACTGATTGAAATTCTGAGCACAAGAAATGCCTCTCTGCACTTCAGAATTTGCACATCAAAGATTACAATGCTTAGATTAGAATCCAGTTGAAATGTGCAAATAACTCCAAAAGCTGTATTTACATGTGGAGACCATTAGGACATGTAGTTGGTTCAAAAAGTTAGCTGGCTCTAGTTTCTTTCTCGGGTCTATAGACACCAGTAATTACAAGGAAAGGGATGGTGACATCAAGATGTGAAAGTGGCTAAGAATGAGCAGTGGCTGATGGTTAGTTTTCTTGCTCTGTGAAGTTATATGGTTGTAAAATTTTCAGAAACGTTCCGAATGTATGTGAAATGATGTAGTCTGATAGGTGGTCATGAGAATGACTGGATGATGTTTTCTGTGGTTGAGTTAGCTGACTGCTGCCTAACCCTGTGTAAGGGACCCCTGCAGCAGTATAATCAAAGCCTGGATAGTGAGTGAGTGAGTTAAACTGTTATAAAAAGGTTATGTCCTACTCTAGTACAAAGTGCAATACACGGTGCCAGACATTTTCCGAGTCGATCATCACAAGGTATCAATACATGGTTTAAAAGTAATCACTTCCTTTAACCATTTCAATGCTGAACTGCAAGAAAATACAGGTAGTTGGATGGAATAGTTAGGTGAAATTCTGACAGCCAGTTGTACTGGGAGGATATACTGTAATTTGTTTAGCTTCTAATTATAGAGACCACAGTAGCCACCTGTTGGAAACTGTTGGAACTGCAATCAAGTAGAAACATGGATTCATGGAAAACTGCCAAACCGCACTTAAGACTTATTTCCTAAGTTCAATCTATATCTAGGGAATTCCATCCATCACAAAAAATGCTTGGAGTTTTCTATCAAAGACAGCAATGAATGAATGTACCCTAGAAATGTCATGAATGTCGTAATCTATATGTAGAAAAACTAGCAAATCTTTCCATAAGTAAAGATAGTAGAAAGAAAGGATCACTGAATGAATAAATGCATACCACACTGGACTCAGAAAAACAACAGGAGACTTGATGTTTCTAGCAAACTGCAGTATTTTTCCCACTATGCACTTATACAGATTATAATTACAGAGGATCCCTGACTACAACAGGAATCTGGCACCAGATTACTTGGGCTCAAACAGTCAAAAATCATGGACTCTGCAAACGTTTTCAAAACTCAACAACAAACTTCACAATGCAGACTTTGTTGAAGGACTTCAATCAAAACCAGGAACTTGTTCATCAATATTGCAAATTTCTCAGAATTCTTCAATATTCAACTTTGCAAGGTCCATGAATCATGACAAACAGAACCTTGTGCTAATCTATGTAGAAACACTTGATTGGCTTGTATAGCTCCTTTCCACCAATCACAGAGCTCCTACCAGATTGACAGCAGTTCGTAACAACTTTGTACACCGTTTGCCCTGCTTCCATCATACATCAGTCACTTAAGTTCATCTAAAATTTGTTAGGACCATAGAAAGACACAAATGTGCAGCAAATTTTACAATATCGTCAATAATGAGCAGTTGATGTACAATTGTAGGGGAAACTGCAGTAGAACTTCTAGACCACCAATACTGCTTCATACAATGTTCTTAGAATGTGTGAAACAGTAATGTCATGCCAAAATTTCTAGAAAGAAAACTAAAAGAAAATTTTTACTCTGGGCCTTGCTCTGGGGGAGCCAATCTTACGTCTTCTAGATCTGGACCTTGTTTTCTTTCTCCTAATGTCTGACTGTGAGAAGAAACAATACTGATAATCTGAAATACTACATTAATTAAAACACTTCAAAACAGATGCCCCTACAACTGTGACTGTAGTTTTCATAATTGTTAATTATTATAACCATTTACTTCTATGCTTCACCCATAGTGGAGAAGGTCTCAACTCTATACTTAAAGTCTTTCTATTCCAGCTTACCGCACTCTATGACAAATTAAAATAACATACAAAATAAAATAATACGTAAAATATTTTTCTTCCAGTCTTGCCTTAGTGTGTACAATGCTACACTTGATGGTTGAAATGTCAATGAAATGATGATAGATCTGGGGCACTTGAAAATGGTGAGGTACAGTTCTACAGAATTCTGCTAGGTGGCATCTCTACCACATCCAGCACTGGAGAGCAGAGGCAAACTGTTACCACTGCTGCATGGATTTAAATATCAAGACAAGCTAAACTGGTTGCACCGCAAAGAAATAAAGTCAACATGTTATGAAGTAGTAAGCACAGTCACTGCACTGTACACAGCAACCAGTATTCATTAGTACATTACATCTTAAATTACTTGGTTGGGTGGATATCCCCTACTTATTATATGACTTCATAACAATAATCATCACAACATATCATACGTTTGCACATTGGTCCACAACAACAACAAGAATAGCTGTAAATTTCATATACTTGGATCAAAAACAAATCGAACTGTGAAAAAACTGGCACAGAAAATTGCTTTGTTCAAACTTGGACCATAAAAACAATGGAACTAATTCTTACCCACTTCTTCATTGGTCCAGGAAGTGGAATTAAAAAAAGATGAGCAACACAAAAACATCAAATACTGAATGTATTAGCATTGAAAATAAACTAAAATACCAAGCAACAAAACTACTAACCGCAAAAGTAATAAAAGAAGTCTACATCCCTAGCCTTAGTCTCAAACCACTAGAACTACTGCCTTGGAAAGATTTCAGTCTTAAATGACTGAACGTTAATGAGATGAAATAATTGTACAACGCGCATCCTTATAAATGCTACAGTATGAAACATGGAAGAAGAGTTGATGTTTTCACAATCAGCTAGATATCTGTGAATCTCCTATTACTATTCTGTGTTGGCAACATCAGAGAGCAACTAACTCAACGAAGTGTTCAGAAAAGTCGCAAGAAAGTATTCCACAAGTTGAAGTGGTTTCCTGTGTAGTTTTGTTTGAAATTTTCATGTTTTTGACCCCTCCCCTACCAGGTTGCAGGTTTCCGGCATTGCCTCACATCTCGTGTAGTTCAAACTGGTCCTGTTCGATGGGTTTGTTCACCCACAGTCCCAGGCCAGCTCGTTGAAACGCCTTCACCATCTCCTGCTTGGCTGCCTGGTAGTCGCCGTTCAGGAGCTTTGCTTCGGAATACTGGCGGGGCGTGTCGCTGTCGTGCCTGCCAGTCGTCGAAGACAGCTTCCCGAACAGCTTGTTCCAGCACTGGAAGAAGTAGTATTTGCTGCAGCGTGACGCCCTGCCGTGGTCGTCCTTCCCCGTCATGGCGTTCACCACTTCCAGCTCCGCGTCCGACACCGTCCAGTTGACGCTGAAGTTGGGCGCCTTCCCCGGCTGTCGGCTCTCTGCGTTACTGATGCCGCTCAGCAGGGGGCGGTTGAGGTGGTACTGAGGCGGGAGCTGCTCCAGCTCGCCCAGGCGCTGGTAGACGGCGCGGGAGAGGTGGTCGCCGTGGTACAGGCTGCCCAGGATGATGCTGCTGAGGTAGATCGGTTCCACAAAGTAGCTCAGCAGCGCCCCCTGGATGCCCAGCACGTTCCAGCGGGCGATCTTGTCGCTGCAGGACATGGTGAGGAGCCGCTCCCCCTGCAGCACCCCGTCCCACGTCTGGATGGAGCTGGACGACTTGACCGGGATCGTGCCCTCCCCGGACTCGATCTTCGTCCTGAGCTGCCCGCGTGCCTTACGGTTGGGATGGCGGTCGGCGGCCTCGGCGTCGGTGGCCGTCTCGTGGGGGCTGAATATCCTGGCGTCGCCGCAGGGCGATGTGCTGATGTAGAGATGAAACTGGATGTTCTCCTTCAGCCGGTACCCCTTCCCGTCTTCCTTAGGCTCAAACACGCTCTCCTCCCTCTTCTCCTCGTCAGCGTCCAGAAGCAGCTCCAGCTGGGAGTACAGGTAACGTAGGAGTGACCGTCGGGACACGATCTCGGCGTGACAGTCGTTGAGCGCCATGCCCTGGTCGCTCATGTACTCACCGTTGATACACTTGGTGCCAGTAGCGAGGGAGATGACCCTGGCATCGGCTGTCTCCACGTCTGTGCCTGTGTGGGGAGATAACACAACTGATTGAATTACATGGGTCAAACTTTGTTGTACTGTTTCCACTTCAAGGGGAATAGGTAAATATTATACTTTTTGTGTCTCAACAGTTGAAAACAATTTTTCTGACCACTCCTTGTATCAAAATTATTGCCTCTTTTCAGACATTCTTGATAGAAAATTAGTGCTAATGAGAGATGCAGAACAAATTCAATCAGCCATTGTTTCTCAACTATAACTTTTCAATAACTCCAACAAAGGATGGGGTACAAATTGCAAACAGCATTTTAGCTGGGAGCTTGTGAAAGAAACTGACACATAAAGAGCAAAACAAAAAAAATGCAATGGACTGATGCTTTAAATGACTATTTCTTGTGTCATATTTTCAATCTCCCTGCATTGTAAAACTATACGTCATACATGTAGCCTGACTAAATCTGCGCTCCTAGCGGCCGGCCAGGTATTACACCAGCCGCCCCCCAGAAGCGGCTGGTGTAATACCGGGCCGGCCACTAGGAGCGCAGATTTAGTCAGGCTAGTCATACATGTAGATGCATTTTGGCCTGTTTCTATAGCAATGATGTTGTATACAACAGAATACAAACTACATATTGCCCTTCTAACTACTTGAAAAGGCATCATGCTTCACCTCAGTACAGAATGATTTTAATAAGTTAACAACATGACTACAGGTATCCTACCAAAACATTTTCTTACAACAGAATGATCAACTTGCTATTTTCTTTAGTATAAACAACAGAAGCGCACTCACTGTCCTCACCTTTAGTCATCACCATCCCTGCTAGCACCTTACGGCGAGCGTGGGGGGAGGTGAAGCCATTGGTCAGCTCACTGAACTTGTCAAGGATCAGCCGGGATATATGGTCTGCCAGGGCCTGGAGAGGGGGGAGGGAGAAAGTTTTTACAATTAACGCAGTTAAGACATTAAAGAAACAAGGTAAGCAGAGATGGTAGACTTTATCCCGTTACCCAATCTGCTTTGTTACCCTTCCGGTCCAATAGGAAATAGCAGCACTGAGCATGTATGGCAATGAAGCATTGTGCACATCTGTATTTGGAACACACACACACACACACACACACACACACACACACACACACACACACACACACACACACACATGCATGCATGCATGCATAGACACAAACAATGTACACACACACACACACACACATGCATGCATGCATGCATAGACACAAACAATGTACACACACACACACACACACACACACACACACATACACACACATGCATGCATAGACACACACAATGTACACACATATACACACGATGCATGCATAGACACACACAATGTACACACACACACACACACACACACACACACACACACATGCATACACACTCACACACAAACACATACACATTGCATATAGACACGCGCATGTGCATATAGACACATACAAAACTGGAAACTTACTAAATAATACTTTTTCTGTTTTCATGTTCCAAAATAGACCAATTCAGTCTTAAATTTAAAAATTCTAGAGACAATTAAATCAGGGTGGCCTTAGGTTGCCAGAGGATTGGACTTCCTCAGAAACAGAAACAACACTGCCAGTACCTGTGTCTGGTGAATGGGGACCCCCTCGGAGCTCATGATGGGTTGTTTGCCGGGGGAGGGGGTGAACTGGTAGTTGAAGATCTTCTGCAGCGCTGCTTGTGCCGCTCGTGCCTTGGCCAGTTTCTTATTCCTCCCGGAGCCCTCGAAAGTCTGCCCGTCTATCGTCACAGCCATGACAAAGTTCTTGGCGTGGCTCTCCCCGGTTTCCGACACGAACTCATACTTCAGCCCCGGTCTGAGCTCGTTCAGGATCATGACGGGGTTCTTCCCGCCGGGTGGTGTGTATGCGCTACCGTACGGACTGTGCATAGCAGCGGAGGGAGGGAGGTCTGCACCGTTCAGTGGAGTGGCTTCGTCTGTAGGGCGGTCGGGGGAGTATGCCTGGGGTTCGTTGGGTTTCTGTTCAAACGCGTTGAAGAGAGTGTCTGAGTCTGCGTGGTCTGACGTGAAGTCAGTGTTGGTGGGGGCAGGTTTGCGTCCCATGGCCTGGTAGGCCTCCGACGCGTTTGGAAACTGTACAAAGGACCTCAGGGCCTGCTCTGCTGCGTGGAGCTTTGCCTTCTTCTTTGTACCGCCCCTGCCTTCAAACGTCTGGCCGTTCACCTCGACCGACATGATGAACTCGGGGGCGTGTACGGGGCCAGCTCTGAGACACAAACTTGAACTGCAGTCCCGGCCGCAGCTCATTCAGCTGCATCAGGGCATTTTTGGGGAGGGCAGGGCCGAGGGACTTTTTCCGCTTCTTCTTGGGCCGCTTGGGTGGGGAGAAGATGTCCTCTTCCAGAGGCCGTTTGAGGGAGATGGTGTCTGTGTCAAGCATGGTGATGTCTGGCTGCACGTTCTCGTGGGGCGTGTTCTGGTTCTCCTTTACATCACCGTTTGTGCTACCTGTGAAACAACACATAACAACAGCATCAATGGGTGTGATGCTTAACATCATAATAACTCTTACAGGCATTCAATGCAATTCCAGGCTGACAAAACTTGGGCTCTTGGTAACAATTGAAGATAGTGAGCAGCTTTTAACACCAGAATACAATCATTCAAACATGTGTCTTTAGAACTTTCCTATGTATTTGTATGTATGTCTTTTCTTTGCCATTTATAGACAAGGCTATGACCCTTGCAGTTTCATTTCAAACTGTAGAATGCAATTTCATTCCAAAGATGACCAACATGCAAGAAAGAGTGTATTGCCCAATAAGTTTGTCTACTCTCAGTCTCAAGTTATACCACATACAAAATATACAATTTTCTTTCATCATTAAATCATTGACATAAGACTCCACCGAAAAGCTATCCCGATATTAACTTATACCTCATTTATCGGAAACAACCACTAGTCTTCATTGAGCCTGTAATACGTTGATGAGTCAATGCAACTGCTGGCATCATGGGACATCTTGTTCCAGCCTATCATGGTGTAACAAAAAGCCACTATCTTGGTCCTGTGTCAGAATAGGCCAGACAGGCTGGCACCATCTCTTAACTTACAATAATTTCATCCTTGTATGTAGCGGCAACTGTGACAGATACCAGCATCCTTTGCCTAGTAAATGTAGCCATGGTGGACTTGTGCTTCATACATGTCAACTTTAATATCAATTTAACAATACTCCTGACAGTATCTTTGTGACTTGGACCATAATAGGGGACATTGCCACGAATCATACAAATGACAGCGATAGTTTAACTGGTATCTGCTCATCAATGGTTACAGTTAGTATATGTTTACAAGCAAAATGAACAAGAATAGTAGAAGCATTTGCAGAGGAAACAGATTGAAACAGAGACAGAATCATTGTATTACCACCCACGCACGCCCTCCTAGATAATGTACATTACAGAGATACATTGTATGATTGAATTATGTCTCTGTACTACTTAACCCTAACAAAATAACTTCATCCACAAATCTTACAGTTCCACATTCTACTGATAGGTATTCGAATGTTGGCATTCCACCAAGACTATAATGGGTTTTATGCCTTAGAGCTTTGTTGCCAACAGAACCATCCAAATCACAGCAAGACAGTCGCTAATGTTACGACATTCACTCATAGAATCTTCCTGCAAAAGAGTGACTTGCATATCTGGTTTTATGCCTTGGTACCTAAATCTGTTACCAACAGAGGTTTTGGTTGGTTCAGAACCAAGAAACCATCCCTACAATGTTAAAATTGGTTTATCAGTTTCACTTACTACTCTTCCAGGACAGTTGTGACTTATATACTACGCTAAAAGCAATAATGTTTGTATTCCCACACGATCATACAGATTTGGTGTTGTTGCTGAGTATTTAATCAGAACACTGTGACTGTTTCCTGAAATATCTTCCCCTGGCATGTAGGAAGGTAAGGAGTTGTCAGACAATTGTGGATGAATGGTGCTGGCTACACACAGTTACGCTGACAACACAACTAATGCTTCCTATTTGGCCGTAATGGCTTGAATGGTTTCCTTGTCCTCGCCCAGTTTTCACTCCCATGAATACTTGATGGCGTGATATCGATACCGTACGCCGAGGGGTGAAGGGCAGACGGGAGATAAAAGGCTTCCCGCGAGAGCGGCGGGGGCTATCATATTCCGAGTCACGACCAATTTCCTAAGCGAGACGTTACAAAGGGGAAACTAACGACGCTTGTAACCACGGATGCCAACCCTCTCCCTGGAGACTCAAGTCAACTGCAAACTACCGATATGAGGTGCAAGTTGTAATACGCGCAGCAAACCAGTTTGTTGTGAATACACCATGTATACATTGTAACCCACATACTATATAGTACAACAGTCCAGACTTAATTAGAATAGCACAGGAGAACTAAAAGAAGGTCACTCTGTTGCGTGGATAAAGCCTTATAATAGTGTTCCTAACATGTTTGTGTATGACTCAGTGTTTACAGTATAGAAGAACACACAACTGAACACAGTTAACACCTTCTAAAAGCCATTATTGGGAGAAATTTTGTTGCCATGCCAACTACATTCAGGTTACGTTGTAGGTTCATGGCTGCTTGAATATATACTTTGAGTTTTGTCCTGGTTTGAAAGCATGGATACACCAATGTCCTTAGTCATCAACAAGCTGGGCTGATAAAGGCTTCATCAGGCATGATCAGTCTTCTCATAATTGTTTGTTTCACATAACACACCCATTTTGTACAGTACAAATGTAAGTATACCGGTATTCTGAATACATGTGAGATCGAACTGTAAGGTTTTTAAAACCACTCACATATTGGGAAGGACCCCTACTCTTTTTGATAAGTGAGGGAATACATGTAGGTGTTAAGTGCCTTTCCAAGGACACAACAGTGGGGTCTGGCAGGGACTCAGAACCTTCAAATTCTGTCAGTCAACTAACCACAAGACCACCTTACCACCTCTCATAGAACTCATAATCCTGACACCTGTCATTCAAGTAGAATCAAGTACTGTATATATATCTACAGCCTTTAAAATTACTGCACTGAAATTTGTCTGGAGATGACTAGAATATTGTAAGTATTCCTCATTCCCAGACCCCTACGTTTTCTAAAAATGCACCTAAATTTAGAAGAATGGCTCAGGCAAAGCCCTTTTTTAGCACACATGAATATTTATGGTAATTTTTCAGTTGGGATTACAAAATGCATTGATTAGACGGGGGTGAATTTTCTGGTTGGCCGGAGTGCAGACAGGAAATGAACGGTCCAGCGGCGCTAGAAGCACTCTCCTGTCGCGGCAGTGGCTGCACCTGCGGAGTACGAGAGGCCTTCGTCATCAATCACAGACGTCCATAACAACGACATACGCTCCCGCCGCAATACTGACACAAAATTACACCAACACCAGATGTTGTGTTACTGTGGAGGTCAAGCTCCTCTACCCCAACACAAAGGACAAGTGTGTTCGACGTCTTGACCAGATCACTTCAATCTTCATCAAAGCAATTTGCTTGAAAACTAATGGGAACGTTTCTTGTTTCTTTGTGTGGGGAACAAAGGCTTAACCTTTAACGTTCCACGGGCTAGTTCACTCACCACAGTCAGCAGAAACAAGAGGGTTAATCCAATACTTCATGAAGTACAAGCCAATAACACATAATCTAATGTAAAGGCTATATATTCTTGATTCCCAGACATTTGAAATCCAATATTTAGGGAGAGTACAAGATTAAAACAGGGGCCTAACAGGAATCCTTGACTTTATTCAGTCCCTAATACTACTATATGACCAAGGGTGCCAATTATTGATTAGATTGGTTTGACTGTGTACAAGAGACTGAGAATAGGATGACACACAAAGTTTGATGTAGGAATTGACAGAAAAGACCATGCAAAGTTCAAAGACGTACGAAAATACAAAGCTAAGCATTTGTTCACGACATCATTGACGTCATGTTACACCATAGTTTGATCCTGATTGACAGGATAATCATTACATTAACCACTAGTAGTGACAAACTCTAATCTCCTAGACTAAGCTGATTAACAAGACTTATGCATGGTGAGGGGAATCAGGATAATCTAGATTATGTAAATTGAGTTAGAAGACACTCTCAACCTGAGTTACAGTCATACATGTACTTTCAAACTGTTCTGCAACTCAAAGGAATTTGAATCATTGGAATTTTCGACCATATCTGACATAAGTATTGTAGAACATGTGATTTTTCTGGGCGTCTGATGTCAGCAGTCTATCTGGTTAAAAAAAAAATCCTGAGAGTCAAATTCCTTTGAGTTTTGAGAACAGTTTCTTCCCATCATATTACTTTCCAACAAATTGAGTTAAACTTACTAGTAGACTGTGACTCTTCTTATTAAAACCAGAAGTCCACACATGGATGACTTCATCATTCCATCCAGTTGTTTCCTCTGACAACTCTTGGTCCGCTGTCTACAGACTGAAACAGTTGGAAACTGCAACTGTTGAAGCACCAGCCAACATGTCCTGATGGTGACCATAGCAACTGAGCCTACCCACAGTCACATGACCATAATAAACACAGTCCCACTCGAGATCTGTCCCAGACATGGCAAGGACATGGAACACTACATGTCTGGGCTTAAAACCATCTAAAAATCTCTCTTCCCAGTCACATCACTAAAAATGTATGGACTTTCCACATTATTGGACTTTCTATATCATCACATACAGTAATGACCTACGAAGACAGTTGCAGGATGCCCAAAAATGGCAAAAGCCAGTACAGAAAGTAAAAAACACCACGACTGCACAGTCAAGCATAGAACTGCCTCCAAATCAACCAGCCTAACAGTCCCTTTTAAGGCTTAAGTAGACCATACATTACCACATTCTCCATCAAGAGTAGAGCCCTGCTATTTGTGTGAAGTCTGGCTGGTCTGCAGTAGGTGTTTGTAAATGTCCTCTCTTCAGCGCAGTAATTGGGTTACTGATTATGTCGTGAGCATTCCGGCAAACAGCTTACCCCACATCTAAATCCCGTGGGGACTGTCAATAATACCAGTAATCAACTTCACACGAATAACGGTCAGCCGACCCTAAAAATGAAACTACGGACACCCATTTCATGCTTAGGAGGGCCACTTTTCATTGTGGTTTCCGTAAACCCTCCGATATACACTTAACTTAAGAACAAATTGAGTTAAAAGAATGTACTTCTTCTGAAAGGTTTCTTTAATTGTTGTCAGAGACGATCCCCTTCCTCGGCACTGCTGTATTTGGCCACTTTGTGTACATAGACAAGAGTAAGTATCGAAGGAGGTGGCAGCCTTGTGTGACTATGTCAGAATGCGGTGGCCTTGTTTACCCTCGACAGAAAAACTGTTGCCAGTCGCGCAGCTTCGCCACCACTGCCACATTCCTAATCATTTTCCAAGGTTGCAACAAGGTTATTGTGAAAAAACATTGACTCAGTGGACACA